AAAAATATAAATAAAAATAATAATAATAATTAAAAATAATAAAAAAGATAGAAAAATAAATTAAAAATTAAAATTTTGGATTATACTCTCTAGTTCCTGTATATAATATTAATTTCATTATATTCGCCTAATATTTTAAAATCTTGAGTTTGAAATCTTGTAGTTCAAATTGCTAGACATAAAAATCTCACAGATTAAAAAAATTTTATTAAATATTATCAATAGAGCCTAAATGTATATTGCGTATGTTTTAATTTTAATTATCGTCTCTCTAAAAAATTAAATGATTCCTAGAATTACTGGAATCTAGTTATTGTGATACAAAAATATATTAATATTAGAATATTTATGATATAAATATACAGGGCGAATTAGAGTCGTTGAACCAGTTTTTTACCCTATGAGAAAATAATTGACTGTACTTGATCAATGCTTCAAAGTATTTTTACTGAAACTTTGATTACATCCATGGAAACGTTTGCCATCAGGTGTGCAGTCTGCAAGAACCGGAATACTTTTGATTTCGAACACATACAATTTTTGTCATTAATTTTATGTCGATAATATATCGGTGATCGATAAAGTTGCTAACAATTTTATTAACAGTAATCAATCGTTATCCTCACTTGAATAAAACAAATAGCATTTACTGCCTGAATGCAAGTTTAAAACGCACATTTTATGAACAAATTGCTTTTCAACAGAACGAAAAATGTGAAATCTACATAAATACAGCTTTATTGATATCTTTTATTAATAATGAAAAAAGATTGTAACACTTGTTTAATTCTTTACTTATCGAATTTGATCAATTCGCGGAAAAACAGAAAATTTTGTTGGAATTTTTGCGCATTCAAAATCGAATTGAAGTTGCATGTCGTTATTTCGGAATGTAAGAATGTATGCGTCGCAGTGTGTCGCGGCATCGTCGTTGATGTTTGCGTCACGTATATGCTCTTATCGTCGATTCAAGTTCGGCGAATAGCCGATAGTGTGATACACGAGGAATTTGAAGTACATTCGCGAGAGCGAATCACGCAGCGCAGGAGAATTCTGCTGGAGCAGTTTCGGAGAAGTGAGTTATCATATCTCGTTTGATCGTATCAAACTATGTTACGCGAGAGGTTATGTTGATTGCAATATTTGCGACTTCACTGGATTTTACCCAACTTCACCCGTTTCACCCAGCTTCTCCTGACAGTCCTGACTATTCCTGAATGAGATGAATGAGTTGAGACGTCCCGAGTCACAATAATCATGTTTGTATTACGATATGTGATCTTATTATTTGTTAATGTACTTCAGTACGAAAGATTCACTTTATTACGAGAGAAATTACATCTGGCCTCTGACATCGAATGTTTGTTCTTTTAAGAGAAAGCAATATGGATTTGAAAACATCGCAATCATGATTTATCGGAACTTGCGAACTGTACTCTTTATAATCTGTTGTCCGATAAGCAGTATGGTTCGTATTTTAATGAATTAATTATCGCTCATTTGCTGCAACAACGATGTAATTAAAAAATTATCATTTTAGTTGCTTACAAAAAAGAACAGAAACAAAAAAATTTTAATATAATTTTTTAATTATAATTTTATTATATTAAAAACGGAAATAATGTGTCATTTACAATTTTTTTAAAATCTATCAGCTAGATAAAAACAATTTATTCAAAATGCATAAATAACAATTTACAAGAATAAAACATTAATCGTGAAAATAATTTAATCTAAATGAAATAGAGAGAAGTATCCAAGAGAAATG